TTTTTCTTCTTTTAATACAGTGGAAAATATAATTTTATATAAATTTGTATTTTACAAGCTGTAAAGTGTTAATTGATTCCATAAACAAGTAATAAAACCAAAAATTATTGGGAAAATTGGCTGCATAATACAAAAAAAAATTATATTTGCAAATCCAATTAAAAACCCCTATGTGGCTAAATCTCATCCCTTGGATTTAGAAGTTTTGGTTAGATTTTCAAATATAATTTTTTTGTTGGTTAGACAACAAATTAACCCAAAATTATACTTTTAAAATAAAAATACCAAATATTACCATTTTTATTTTATAAAATCTCCAAAAAATTAATGTGTAGAGAGAGAGAGAAGGACTGTCTGTGATTTTTATTTGTTTTTTTTTTGTCGAAATCTGGAAAATCATTTGATAATACTCTCCTTCGAATCGATTTTGCTGTAACCGTGAGAAACCAATCGGCGAGCTTAATCGATCGGAAAAAAAATCTGGGTTTTTTTCTCGTAATCCCGATCCCGTCTCATTCCTGATCGTCGAGTCGAATCAGCCATTGGAGGAAGTGTGTGTTTGTGTGAATCGTAGAGAGATAGAGAGAGCAAATGAACGGTGAGGATGAGGTTGTCGCAGCTCCTGGAGACCCTTTGGAATGGAGATTCTCTCAGGTATTCGGTGAACGAAGCGCTGGTGAAGATGTTCAAGAAGGTTAGTTCTCATATTTTGTTGACTTGTTGATTACAATCAGATTTTAGCTTACTGTTTCGATCTAATTTGTTGAATTGGAATTAGGGTTTTTTTCAATCTGGGTATGTAGATCTATTGGTTGGCTCTTCGATTCTTCGATTAATCTATCATCATCTATGGGTCAATATAAAGTTTTGGTTTTTTGGAAGCTTGTGGACTAGATTGTGTTTTCGTCTTCATTTTGGATATGAGAGGAGTGTTAGTACTGAAAACTTATAGCTGGTGTTTCCTCTGCAGTTGATATAATTTCAGCGATTGAATTCGATAAATCCGGTGACCATCTTGCTACTGGAGACCGTGGAGGACGGGTTGTTCTTTTCGAGAGAAGCGATGTCAGAAATGTATGTATGCTATTTGCATTGCAATTGTTTTTATGAAAAGAATGGGACTTTGACATTTGGTTTATATATTGTTGTTGCATGTTATCGATTACAGAGCAATGGAGCTAGAAGAGATCTTGAAGAAGCAGATTATCCGCTGAGGCACCCGGAGTTTCGTTATAAGACGGAATTTCAGAGTCATGACCCTGAGGTATTCGATTTACTCTGTTTTCTTTACTCGCAATATGTGTTATACCTTTTTCTGTTTTTTTCATGCTTGATCCTTTTCTACCAGTTTGATTACCTCAAGAGTTTGGAGATAGAGGAGAAGATTAACAAGATTAGATGGTGTCAAACAGCCAATGGCGCTCTTTTCCTCCTATCGACGAATGATAAAACCATCAAGTTTTGGAAGGTGATAATTTCCTCTTTATTGTTTGTTGGCCTCTGAATGACATACTGTTTTGATAGAACTTTGTGTTTGCGTCTGGATACTTAGGGTGTACAACGATAGCGCTGATACTTTCATGGTCGATCTTGAGAATGTTGAAATTTGAACTCCCTGGGCATTTACATTGTATCTAGATAGTTCTACATCCTTAATGTAGTAAAGAGTTTCTCTTTGGATCTTTTTCTAATCAATAACCTGTTGTGATGAGTATGTAGAGGTGATTCTTTCCTCTTTATTCTTATGTGAGAGTTGTTACAGGTTCAAGACAAGAAGATCAAGAAAATTTCTGAGTTAAATTCAGATCCTTCAAGAACTATAGGAAATGGAAGTGTTGCAAGCTCGAGCAATACAAACATTACAAGCCTTGTGAATGGAGGAGTATCTGAAGTGCACAACTCATCTAATGACTTCTCATCGCTGCGATTACCTGTGGTAGTTGTACTCTGAACAATTTGTTTTCATAATTCTTTGTAGCTTCCTAGATATTTTGAACATGCTAGATTCAGCATGAACTGAAGTAAAACTTGCATCATAGAGCCAATCACTTTCTTAACCTTTTTCTGGATGATTTCTAAAACGGTCTAGAATTGGCTCCAGTTGAGTCGAAATAAAATGGAGCATATCATGTAGAATAATTTGCTCCACTTTACATTTCATTGGTGCTAGACTTGTGTTTTTCAGTTGTAGTCTCCATTTTCCCGTTCTATGACCTTCTACACCTCTGATTCGGAATTGATTCGTTACTCATGCAACATTACTTAGTATTGCTTGTATGTAGACTAATAGTTTGTTTGGCATATACAGGTAACTAGCCATGAGTCAAGCCCTGTGGCTAGATGTCGAAGAGTATATGCTCATGCTCATGACTATCATATCAATTCAATCTCAAACAATAGGTACCATTTGGAATTCTACTTGATTTCTTCTTACTATCAACTGCTTTTTTCTTCGTGAGAATTTTTTTAATGTCACTACAAGTCGTCTGATATGTCATTGATATTTCTTCTTCTAAAACTAGTGATGGCGAAACATTTATTTCTGCTGATGATTTGCGAATAAATCTCTGGAATCTGGAGATCAGCAACCAAAGTTTCAATATTGTTGATGTCAAGCCTGCAAAAATGGAAGATCTATCTGGTAAGCCATGGTCTACTGTATTTTCAGTCCATTGTCTGCATGTTTATGGTGGTGTATTTTGAGCTATACGGTACCTATATATCAAGCAATTGGATGCTATGTCCTGCTTAATTACTGCCGTATTTGTTCTTGCAGAGGTTATCACATCAGCAGAATTTCATCCTACCCATTGCAACATGTTAGCCTATAGCAGTTCAAAAGGTTCAATTCGCCTGATTGATCTGCGTCAATCAGCTTTATGCGATTCACATTCCAAATTGTAAGTCTTGAGGCTGGTAATTCTTTTAAGTTTCTCTATAGTCCAGTATAACTTGAAAGGAGGAGCTAAAAACATTGCTTGTTGGATTTGATCACCTGTGGTGACAATAAAGGCTAACATTGCTTGTGTCTGCAGGTTTCAGGAACAAGAGGCACCAGGTCCTAAATCGTTCTTCACTGAGATAATTGCTTCTGTCTCAGACATCAAATTTGCAAAAGAAGGAAGATATCTACTTAGCCGTGACTACATGACACTTAAGGTCCATTATTTGTTGTTTCTATTGGCATTAGATATGATATGTCCTTGAAGCTATCAGTGGCTTGTTTTGAATTGTTCGTGTAAGGAAAGCTAAACTCATGGTTATGTTTTGCATGTCAGTTATGGGACATCAACATGGACGCAGGTCCAGTAGCAACTTTCCAAGTTCATGAATATTTGAAACCAAAGGTCAGTTTCCTTTACTTTTAGAGAGCCTCGTTTGATGAGTTGGTACATAGCTAATTGGTAATCCCACTTCCTGTGACTCTTTTCAGCTCTGTGATTTATATGAAAATGATTCCATCTTTGACAAGTTCGAGTGTTGTATAAGTGGGAATGGATTGCGAGCAGCTACAGGTTCTTACAGGTATGCCCCAAAAAGCAAAGCTTCTTTTTTCTTCTGATATTCGCATTTTTCAAATGACTATGATTCCTTTTGTAATTCTTCTTTCGCTTTCATACTCTTCCAGCAATCTGTTCCGTGTGTTTGGTGTTTCCCCGGGAAGTACTGAGACTGCAACTTTAGAAGCAAGCAGAAACCCGATGAGGTAAACTTGGTAAAGCCATTAAGAGTAGTGTGCTCTTCTGTTTCTTCTCAGTGTTGATGAATTGGAGTTTGTGTTGTGGTTTATCTTATAGGAGACATGTCCCAATTCCCTCGAGGCCAGCCAGAGCTCTAAGCAGTATAACGCGTGTTGTAAGTAGAGGTTAGTCTCTCTCCTTTTCTCATTTAAGCATATACCATTTTAAGAATCCAACATCAAGTTAGTGAATATTGAAATGGTAAAAACAGGATCAGAGAGTCCCGGAGTCGATGGAAATAGCAATGCTAATGATTTCACAACAAAGTTACTGCATCTTGCTTGGCATCCAAACGAGAACTCGATTGCTTGCGCCGCTGCAAATAGCTTATACATGTACTATGCTTAACCCAATACTCATCGAAAAGAAGAAGCAAAAATCGGCGCATTTTCTCTGCTCTAGACTGTTTTTCTAAGTTCCTTATGGAGATTGCTATATACACCATCATCAACATCGTCGCCATA